GGGGACTAGTGTCTTCAACTGTAATTCTGTGAAGTCATTAGCCTATTTCTAACTAAACGAACATGTTTATGCCTCGAACTTATAGTAGATCTTTGAATAATTTCTATTTTTTTACGATTTAGTATTTTATAAGCGAAGAGTAAAATAAGTCAAAATATGTTGGTGAACATGTGTAATAATGTATGGGCGATTCATCGATCCCTTGTACTTTTTTACGCTGTTATACATCATACGCACTTTTACATAATATTGACTTGCGCGCTCAATGGCTGCATAATGGTTTTAACTATGGACTAAAGGCCGCAATGTGTCTGTGAGGTTGCGCGCATGATGTCAGTCACAACTCTGAAAATCCTACTTACTAACCTATTTTTTTTTTTCAATTCAAGCATCAATTTTTTTTAGTTTCGTCAATGTGGGGGGCCCACACGTTGTGTATTTAACTCTGTATGTATAACACTTTGTCGCTCCGTTTTAAAGAATAAAATCTATGTTTAAGATATTTCTATTTGAGTTAGAATATTCATGTTCTAAAGTTGAAAAATAGGTCTAGTATAACTGAAATGTAAAAGAAGAACCTCGGACGCGTCTCAAGCTATCCTACTAAAGCGTGCAGGTATATCAAGATGAAGGCCAATCAAGGCCCAAAGATTTTTCAGTATTTCAATTGACGATAATGCAAATCAAACTACAAGCCTACTCATACATTGCCTTAATATGAAGAATAACTGATTTTAGTGTTTTCTCATCGAAATTCATACATGGAACCGCTCTGGGTTAGGTTCATTATACAGGAAGTGTACCATCGTCTAGTGCATCATCCCAGTGGTCTTCTATACCAAGTTGAGAATAAAACTATATAGAGAATAATGGGGAGATCAACGAGGCAGTAATCGGGACCTGACAGGATAATTGCGTTGCCGCAATCGAAGAGGTTTTTCACGAAGGCTGAGCTTGCAGTTTAAAGCTCTGTCGATCAAAACTGGCGTTTTACGTCTAATGCGTTCCGAAATACGAAAATCGAGCAAAAAATGGGCTTCCTGTAAGTTGACTCCAGATTAATTAGAAATGCGTGCAGTATATTTCCCGTGTAATTTGCGGAACTTTAATTCAGAGATAAACCGTTTACAGCCTACGATCGACGAGGCACGATTCGACATCTACCACCATATGAGAGAATAGCGTCTTTCTAGAAGGAAATGAGTTTGATGCCAGCATCGAGTAGGTTCGGGCGTAAGATGATGGCGGTACTTGCAACGGACATTAGCGGCATCTGTTACTATGAGATACTTGCCGAAAATGAAATAATGAGTGCTCCTCGCTATCTGAAGTTCTCTTAGAGACTCGTGGACCGGGTGGCACGGAAAGCAAAAGCGCGTAGTCTGACTGCCCGATAATAACGCCAGCCTACTTCGCCATGTCCTAATTACTTTCAGGATTGAGCAGAAAAATATCCGACATTGGCTTCAACTCGCTTATTCTACCAATATAAGTCCGTGTGATTGCAAGGCTTTGCATGTATTAAATAGGGCAATAGACGGCCGAGCTTATCCCGCCATCGATCAACTTCGGATATTAATAAATTGAAAGGTTACTTATGGGAACGCGAATGGTAGGTATATGATTATCCAGAAGCTGACAAAGCACTGAGATACACGTGTAAAAATTAAGAAGAGTATCTCTAATTTATATTTAAAAATCCTTACTCTAGCCCAACTAGTTCTTAAGTTATTTAATTTCGAAGTTCACCGGCTCTGCTTGTCGCCTCGCCTTGCATAACTAAGTTAGACTACAAACAGTATTATTTCATACATATCAGATTTTATTATCATAGCTTCATTAATAGATTCGACATTTCTTAGGTCGGTACTCTTGAGTGAAATATATGTCGCGTTATTTATCGCTTTAAGGAAACCATTTAACTGGTTAGCTCACGTAGGTCGTATTCGTTCTGTTGTAATGTAAGTTGGAACCTGTTTCAGAAAACGTGCTTATTGTAGACCTCAATCTCGACAATTTCATTGATTTCTACAGTATAGTGTGTCGAGCTCACCTTTCGAAAATATGTTTTCCCTACCAAAAAAAGATGCACTGGAATCAATAAGGGATATTGTTGGGTAGGAAGTGAGTAAGGTTAGACGCGTTCCCGATTCATGCGTGAAGGCTTACCCAGCGGGGGGAGGACTCGAAATGATGCGACCAATTTGATGAAATAATTCATGAAACACCACTTACTGGACGGCTGAATAGACCGGCCACGGGCCTGATACTGGCGACATCTAACCATATATGACTGCAGTGTTCCAAGTCAATGAAACTCAATCGCTCACTAGAGCGGCAGGGCGTTTGGTGGCCATAAGTTGAAAACAACGCTGGTAATAGAACAAAGCCTGTCTCGTATCAGTATTGAGCAAGGGGAACGGTCGCGAAGTTGACGAGCGATAAAGAGCAGAAACAAGGCAAGGGTTGAATGTTAAGCGAGATGTTTCATCGGGCTGGAATACGCATCAATAAGAGGACAGAGAGACTTGTAGCCAGATTTTCGCAATTGTCAGGTAATCGTGACTCCTAGACGGTATGGTGGGCGAGGTACACCGAAAAACTTTGCTGCAGAAACATCACACACACATCACCAAATATGTCCAGCTCGTTCATATGCAATCCCGGGAGGGCGCGCTCCAACCCCGCAAAACCTAAAGGTTCTTGGTTTTCTACGCTTTGTTTAGGACGGAAGCTGGATATTAGTTCTTTTTTAGTCGCTATGAGAGGTCCAGTCGTTGGTCCCATAGAGAGTTTTGACGTCGCATTTATTACACAGACAGGATAAGCCAAGATTATATTCCTAAATCTTTATCAACTACATGCTTCTTGTTCATGTTGTCTGCATAATTTGCCATTGAGATTTACTAAGGTTTTCAGTACATTCGGCCCACCGTTGGGTTATATATTATAGAAATTTATGAAGCTCTGTAAATTTCTAATCACGATTAGAGGTTTTATACACCTCTATTGTGGTGCTATTTGATACTAATTACAGATTTGTAATCACGTATTTCTAATTAGTGTAGTCGGCTCAGTATTTCCTCCTTTATTGCGGGTATTTTTCTAGAAAGGACTTATATTTAAAGACCGTAGACAGATAGGCCATCCCGATGGACATCAAATAATGATAATTTTTGGGTACATTCATTTGATTACGTCATAATATATATCAGCTTGTCAGTGTAAGAAGGATATAACAGTCGGACTGTCATACTGCATAACATTTGTTAGCTCCCAGAGTCTACTGACGCTGGCGACGGACGCTTTCTAATAAGGAGCGCAATCATTTACCTCAAGGCATGCTGTTCATTCATCATTCAGTTCTAATCCAAGGTGGACGCGCTATTCGATCTGTAACAATGGCTCCCATCCTGGCTTGCTTGCTAACTCCAACTTCGCTTTGCTATGTAAACATAAATGTCTTGGTTGCAAGACCGCTGCGCCCCTGAGTAACAACCACGTTTCGGTGGCCTCAGGACATCATCCTGCGTTCCTTCTATCCGCTGACGACCGCCTCCAAGCATACTGGCCACCCGTTCCTGGTTTTGCCAAGAGTTGCAGCTATGCTTGTAGAGACGTCAGTGATTGGAACTAAGCAAGACGTGACCAGACTTTGCTAGATACTGCGTGTGTGTGCAGAAAGCTTAAGATGTGGCTCTGCTATTGCATGATACAGTCGTCATGAAGTATCGAACCAAACCTCAACTCGACGTTCGAAACTTCTAGTATCGCGGCCGCTGCGCCGCCACCCATGCTGGCAAGCTCATGGCTGCTGTAATATGCAGAAAAATCGAATTCCTCAGCCAACTATAATGCCATAGGCTAAAGAAACGTTGACTCTAATCTAACGACCCTTTGGTAGACGTAACTTTTGAATGAAAGGAGAAAATAATAAAAGTTAAGGCATTTTTGTAAATAGCTTAGTAACAGGACAGTACTCTGAACCTCTACAGTTATAATAGACATGTAGAAAAAATAAAATACAAAAACAAAAAAAAACGTCATTCTTATCATTAGATAACCAAAAGGAAATTTGTATCGTCCAATGAAAAGGATCAGATTCTCTGCTAGAATTCTAATCCGGAAGCACGACTACGACTTAGAATCGAAAAGGCCTTTTTTTTACTCGCGTTTTTACATTGTAATAACTAACATTTCATCGGCACGTATTGTATGCATCTAATCTATTTTTTCCGTAATGATCGTAATGACCGTAGCGATTTAACATCTCAACATGGACAACAGCTGCGCCCGTGAAAGTGACTACAGGAACTGTTGCAACAGCGCACAATTGGAAGAGAAGCTACCGGGAAGAGTTCGAAAGCCTCGTTACCTCTGACTAAATTGATTTCTGTGGCCTTAGATATGGCTTGAAGTAACCATTTTAAGTGCATATTCAGAGAATTTTCTGTTGATAATGTGGTACAGTCTAGGTCATGGCTAACTGGTTAGGAAAAGCGAAATAATCCACTCCACAAAGCAATTTCAGTTAGGGGTGACCGGTTCCCAACGCTTGAAGTACTGCAATAAAGACATGCCTCAATATATCAAGACTAATATAAATCGAAGACAAAGACGACCTATATCCTTGTGCGTTAACGATGAGAAATTAGAATATAAATGAAGGATGAACATCACAAGCGGACTGGGAAGAAGTGGATAAATTGAGTAATGAGAGAATGGACCAGCATTTTGCTGTTCCGCCTACACGTTTTTAGAGAATCATATGATGGATTGAATCTTGTGTTACATCGACGAAAGTACGATCTGGGTGTTTTTACATACCTATTCAAATGGCATCTTCCTATGGATGTCACTGTGAGATTTTGAAAAAAATATGAAGCTTTAAACCCTACAGTTTAAAGACATTTAAATACGTATTCTGTTAGAATACAAATACTTTGTAAACATGCATTGTGCTTAGCGATCTTGCTACAAGTTGCATCGAGGATTTACCCGTGTATTTATTTTTTCTACCATCTTATTAAAAATTTCCGGCACGAACAAACCAAATCTACATTCGATCCTTTCCTTCAAGCTTAATCCAGCGCCACAACTACTGATGGGAATGATTTTGTCAAGTCTTTGAGCGCCTTTCGATCAGCGCACGATTTCAGAGCTCAATTCATAAGGAACGGAGGCTGATATCTGGCATCAGGTAAAGTAGCTTAGAGGCTTACCATTAGGACAAAAGCGTAGGCTTTTTCCACAAATTTAGCGAGGATATTAGATACAGGATCGCATGTACGGTATTCATATGTTTTTGTTGTCAAATGATTGTCAGCAGCCTGTTGTCCTCCTTCTTCACACAGCGAATCATGTTATCTATTATGCAAAATAGTGCCAATTGTGCTTTTTTTCCTTTTTATTTTATTAACTATTTTGTCTTTATTATATCGCCAGCACTTCGAAAAAATAATATATTCTATTTATCACACGTCATTGTGCAGATTACAACCATATTTTAAATTGAACTCTGTCCGAAACTAGGGGTCTTGTTTTGGTGGCGAGTTTTATAAAAAAAAAGTATATTGCCAAAAGCAAAAATACTTGACGCTATCAGTTCAATAATAAAGTGACAATAAAATTTCTTCACATGAAAACAAATACCTTTTTCTGTATAGTTTAAACTAAGTGGGTTGAGGATTCCTGTTTAGTAACCTCTTCCTGTCAGGCCAATTGTCAAAACGGACATATATGTTTAGGTCTTTCCAGATCTCATTCTGTTCTGTCGAACAGCGAATTTTTATTTAGCACCAAATAATTTTGCTGCAACTAGAAGCAATGTGTCTGATATATTTTGTAACTGGCGTCTACGATTAGTAACATGGCTTGAAGTGTTACCTGCAATTGACACATTGTAGCGCGATCGATCTACTGAAGCGTAACGAAGTCACCAGTTACATCATGTCGAATATGGCGTTTTGCTTGTGAATCTTAGTGCGCTCGAAACAGTTATGCTTCGTATACGACTTCAACAAACAGCGAACCTCGAGCCTCAAGAGGAAATTCTTAGGGAAGTCCCAAATTTCATTTCGCCAGTATATATCGAAGGCATTGGGCCACTGACGTGCTAGGTGTAAATAGCCGCTATATGTATATAAATATATAAATCGGTCGAGTTTATATTAGGGGAAATGAGTTCAGAAGAAAACAGACTCTAGGATCGCAAGTCAGTATTCAGTGATCGGGTTTTTCTTTGTTTTTTAAAGGCTACAGCTCTAAAGAGACCTATTGAAGATTGCTGAAAGCATTAGGCAACGAAGCCTTAAGTAAGCAGGTGGTGCAAACGTTTCACGGGCAGAGATTGAACAGTTAAGGGCTAGCAAGGCGCTGGCCAGATGTCAGGACAACAAAGACAAGAACGCATTGTCGTAGTCAAGGACGCTCTTTACGAGAGCGCAGTTTAAAGTGTATGGACTTTGTCGACCGAAACTAGCATATCATATATAATGTATTGTAGAATTATAACCAAAATACCTGTTAATTTACCTGTCGCCAATTTGCTGCAATTTGCGGTACTTTAGTTAACCAAAAACCCGCCTGTGGAAACGCAAATGGTCGGTATATAACTGTCTAGGAGCTACCAGAGCGCTAGGAAATGTGTAAAAAGAACAAATACGAAAAAATCATTCTAGCCCGGCTTGCTCAAAAGTTACGACAGCTTCGCATTTCAGAGCGAGTGAGCTTAAGATGGAATGGCCAAAAACCGTAGAATACGTAAGGGTGAAAAGTATCTTCATTTGCATTTATGATCACGATACCATCTAATTAAATGTACGGAGCGTTCGTTGTAGGCCGCTTAAGAACGAATTAAGATCATTTTTATCATGCCTACACGTTCGATAGTACTGACAACTGTTGCTCAAAAGTACCAGCAGGTAAGATCACGCCACGAGCTTGGGTCACATTGTGATATCTAACTGCTGCGTAAAGGAGGACGGTTCGGAGGGTGTCTACATGGCTGATTTGAGCTGTCCAAATGACAATTCCTGATCTGGATACTCCGCTTGGTAACGTTGGCAACAAGATTTAAAAAATTAAGGGCAAAAATGTTATTTTCGACAACAATCCAGACGATTTACTTATATACGGAAAAGCACATAGATCGAATTTTTGCCAAGTGTCCTTACTGTGCATACGTGTAGCACATATGCAATGATATTACTCAAATAAGGTCTCAATAATGCACGAGCAAGTGACTATATTGAAACATAGAAACCATTTGCTGTTTCCTTTTGAAATGTCAACGCTTTTCGTTACTCTGGTGTTGAACACAAATGCAACACGATGGCAATGTGGCAGTCTATAACTGTTGTGAGCTATGCTCCAAGGCACATATTGCCATAAATCCAAATATTTCAAAGCAGCTTGCCCTATAAAATTATTTAAAAATGAGACATTAGCATGTGACAAGACATACTTCTTGCGTATAACTGACTTCGGCACGCTACCGAAAAAATTATGATTCAAATAATGCCAATTTTTCAAAAGGCGGCTACAATATTTACAATAATACAAGGATAATAATACAAGAATTTGAGAACTATGAAAACCTACCAGTTATGCACAGCACACGGAAATCACTGCTGTCTTGTGTTCATATAGACAAAATAACACTGCGCAGAAAATTTTGAGATTTTTTACGTTAAAAAAACGACACGTCTCAAGTTCTGTAATATTCAGTTGGCAAAGATAAGCACGTATACGTACATGCTATATCCTTCACTGGTCGTCATATGCTGACGGGTGGCACCGTCCTTCCTCTCACAAGCTGTTTTAGGTGAAGCAATGGGCAAAGCACCATCGAGAAGTTCCTTGTGAGCCTGTCATTTGTTTCCAGCAACCTTGTGGGGAAAAGGGTATTACCGCTTCTTAGCATATTGTGACGCTGAACGATACCAACCTAAACATCTCATTGCCATCCTACATGGACCTTACACATCGTATCGCAGAAGCTTCTATATATATATATATATACTAAACTTGATGAAAGTGAGGGAAACACTATATAATCGAAGATCTGGGATTTATCGAGTAGTAATCTCTATTCGCCTACTATCATTACAGTAATGTCTTCACTGTGAGAGGTTCAATGCTTGTCTAACGCTGAAACCTTAAAGCGTGTGTAGAATAACGTAAATAAAACTCAACCCTCGACAGGCTCGGGTCTAATGCTAGCGGCTCTGAAGAGGCAAGAATCGCATTGAGGTAGCTTAGTAATAGGAACGGCCACCTCAGCTTACATATCGGATTATTCGCGGGACCGGCATACGAAAATAATGCCTAACCCAAGAAGACCCATAGGCGATGAATATGAATGAGCATGAATTTCGAATCCGTTGTTTTGAAGAAGCGTACTTATAACAAGGAAAATAAATTACTTTTAAATATGTATTAAATGAATGTATCATCAAATAAACGTACCAATTCCAAGGTAATGACCTGAAGTGCGTTTTTTTCGCATTGGTTTCCATAATGTGCCTGTGCTGTCCTATCAGCTGTCAAGCTAATTTCAGTAATATTAATAAGCAGTAACATTTCAAAAGTACTCAGCAACGGTTCCACGTTCAATTATATATTTAATGCTGATCAAAAACTATGTTATTTGATTGGGGTTAGGTCAAGCTTCAGCCGTTCCCAGACGATGCAGCAGATTTTTTCACCTTAACATGCCCAGTTGCTAGTGCCCTATCCCTCTCCCTTCTCGAACTGATAGATCATGAAATTTGTTTTTTGGAACAGAATACGGATGCATTGTCCTGAATGGTGTTTGTGTCATGCTGTGAGTTCGCAAGACGTGCACGGCGAGCCAACCGATAAGCCCTCAACTCACTCTCACCGCTTCCGTTTAATTTGTTTGTGTAATTCATGTAGCTGACACTGCTCGGTGAGGACGCTGTCGGCCGTCCATCCTGTCTACCACCACGAAAGATTCTCGCCAGTGAAACGCTGATCTGATCAAGTGAGACGAACGCCTCCTTCTGACGCAGCATCGACATCCGGAGCTGTTCTCCGATACGCCAAATTTCTGCCGAAATATCGAGGGCTGTCGTCGGGTCGCTTGAGGCAAGGGTCCGTGTATCGTTCTGCAACCTCGCAGCTGCCTTATCCGTATTCGCCCAAAGGTCTGTTAAGATACTATGCATCGGTATTGGTAGATGACCAGTTTCGAATTCCCGGAAATCGCGTGACATGCTCAAACATGATGCTGAGCTCTCCGGTAGAGCGCAGCCGCTTACGCTATCCATGTAAAACGTATACAGTGATGAATTCAGACGGTATATCGTGTCACTTTTCTAGCAAGGTGGGCACGCCAGCATTGAAAGTGACGTAAACACAGCCATATGGCCAAAAACACTCCGTTAAGACACTTCGTTTCTTTTTCGAAATACTGCTCTTTGATCAAATTTCGAATTGACGACAGATACCAGCATTAGGCGAATTGAGGCATGCGAGGTCGGCCTTACAGTACGTGGCCACAGAACTAAAAATTATTCAGATATATTTTTATTAGAGAATTAAAAACGTTTAGAAGAGGCGATAAAGAAAGACTATGCCCGTAAGTTATTTTGCTACTAATATTTCGAATCCTATTAGCCCCTAATATTCTTTAACGCGAAAGCCAAATTATGGAATCGCGAATCAAAGGGTGTTTTAAAATAATGAGAACGCCCGGCAAACCGTTTTGGAAAAATCTATGATCATCGAACTGGGTCTGAACAAATATAATGTATCATGTTTGAAGTAAATAGGTACAAGAAGGTACACTAGCTTTTTCTACAATTGCTTTATTTTTCTCAGCAATAAACGCCAAAGTTAACGAATTGGAGATAAATATTTCCCTATATCTCTTCGGCCTTCGTACCTAATAACTAGATAGTTATGTATATCTAAGTGCATTTGAATCGGGTAACTTAATCTGTTGTATTTGGTGCGGAAAATGAAAATGGGTTCGAAGGTGATCGAGCGTTCCGAAGTTGGGCTTCTAACAATTCCGCTTGGCGATCTTCTTCAAGCGATCTAACAGGATAAACGAGGTGATTTCCCTTATCAGTTGAAAACAACTGATGCTCGCGAGGATTGTAGATTATGAAGGTTGTGTTGCCGAAAGGGTTTGTGAATGATATTGGCGCCTAAAGCAACAAATTGTAAATACCATAAATGAAATTCACATTCTGGTAAGCATGATAACGGCTGCCCATGTGTCCATTAACTTCGCCATTGAGTTATTTTCTTGTAGGCAAAAGTTCGAATAATTATACAGATAAGACATCCACTTACCTCAAGGCTAATGATCGAGTCCGCAATAAGATCATACGCATACATGTACACCTGGGCGTGAGGTTCTGTCACAGAATTGATTGCGTAGAGGACTCCGCACATGATGAACATTTGGCCAATTTTTCGGTGTGGAAGCGTCAGATTCCACATGAACTGCTTCTCAAAGGTTGTTTCATCCACCTAACAAATATTTCGTGAAGAAAAAAAAAGTTGGATAGTGTTTCTTTTATTTCGGTACCTCGTTGCTGCTTATCTTCTTTCTGCAGCGACATTAATTATAACTCAGATATAGCATGAAGGCTCTGTCGGCCATTTAACTGAAACCCATAACACCCGAATCGTATAGATAGCAATTTAAATTTTTCGCCGGCTCGTGTCATTCAGTCTATCCATGTCTTCGATTGCGCGGTTCTTCCCTTTTTTTTTTTAATCAATTACGCAGTATGGATTGATAAACGCGTGTGATTATCGCCTGCTCTCAATAGAACTCACCTTCAGTAACATGGTGTTATTTGAGCGTGTACTTGCATATATAATCCAAAGGCCATTTTCGTCTGCAACGATATGTGCATAGTTTTGTTGGCTGGCAAATAGAAAGCTTCGATTTGAGAAAGCCATGTCTTCCACAGCGAGAACCGATACTTGTCCAATAGTGCCTTTACCTCTAAATAAAAGAAGTGACGCTATAATAGTTAAACGTTATTGTTACTGTATATGAGTGAAGTTCCCTTCTGGCGGGGTACGTATTGCCATAATAACAGAAAAAAATTTCCAACATTGAAAAGTACTAAGTTTGTCCAGTAATATTTGATCCATTATTTAGTATAATGGTTTGCGAATGAATAAAAAAAAAAGACGTTTTGAAAAACTAAAGCTTTCAAAAGGAAGAGCGTAATAGAAATCTATTGATTTTTAGGGATTACGCTCTACCACATATGTGTATTATTCAACATCTGGGCTAGACTCGTTGACTCAGTCTGTAAATACAGTATGTCTCATTGTTTTATACGTTAACTTCGAAACAATGATCCGAGCCGTTGTTTATCATATAGCTAAGCATTCTGAGGTGACCGTCTTATGAAGCACAGTTCTTCTGCGTAACATAACAACAATATGTTTTAGGATAAAGTAGGTCGACAATGAAAGGCGTCTGCTGTAATAGGCAGCAGCGATTCTAGACGTAGCGTTCAATTTAGGTTGCTAAAAAGCACCAACATAGTAGATACAGAGCCTAATTTAGATAAAGCTTGCTTAGATTTATTTGTGTCATCAGTAACGTATTCGATTGATAAGATACACAAAGCCGTTCGAACAGCCTCTACGTATTATTTGAATATAGCGCAAAAGAGATGGTCCAATAAACTATTTCTGGTGAACTAATCCCAAAAGGATCACACATTTAGGACAAAGTATATTAAATTAATCGATACCGCTTTCGCCTTCATCCGACTAACTTTTGTTAGACGTTCGCTATACTGGTCAAGTTACATGTATTTTTCAACTTTGCCGAACAGGGTATTAATATTCTATATGAGATACGTGGATATTACGCCATGCGAGACCGTCTATGACGAAATAGCCTTCTGAGAACTGCTGCAAAACACCGTATCGATATTATACCGTTTGCTATATCGAGTGGAACGAAAGGAAAGGGTGTGCTTTATCTAGTTATGGCAAACTTAAACATGATCTCTTATAAAAGATACGCTTACGTACAGGCTTGAGCTATAATGGCCAGGGAAAGTTGTTTTTCAAGATCGAGCCAAGCCTTCAAGTCTGATTTACGTTTTCCACGAATATCGAACATCTAGGATAAACAGTAATCATCCTAATGTGTGGCATCTTAAAGCTCTACCGGCAAATAAATGGTTACCATTATCACGCTCTGATATGTGTATATATATATATATATATGTATATATATATGGTATTAATCTGATATATATATACATATATATATATATGATATTGAACAAAGTTATAAATAGAGCTCAGTTAAACTTCCATAAATATTGATACATTAAATGTTTGCTTACATCTGTTGGAGGCCAGTTGCAATATAGCAGAGTAGGCCTTGTAAGTTGAGATCTATTAAGAATAAAAGTTATGTGATGGTACAGTATTAGAGTATTAGGAAGCAACAAAGCAACCAAGTTAAACTTCAGTAAACTTACTCAAATGATCTCGAGTAAAGCGGTAGGCGCACTATGTTGTTCGACGCATTCTGATGATAATAGAACGTCCCGTTGATAAGCAGATTACCGTTGCCATAGAAAGGGGAGTTCAACGGTATCTGTTTCGCCGGCGCTCCACTTTGAAACTGTTCTCGGGTCTGAAATTGGATTTCCAGCTTAGTAATGAAAGGAGATGTACCACAAGAAAGATTTCGATTTAAAACAAATTGTAATCCGTCAGAATCCGTTCCTTCTGAGGTAGAGATGGGATGGCTATATTCCATTTTATGTACCGCCTGGCGAAAGTATTTCGGAACTTGCTTCGTGGCTGTATTGGCTTTAAGCAGCTCGAAACAAAACTTTCCTCATTTAAGTTGGCAAGCTGACCCGAGTCTGCTTGGCTTGCATGGTCCCTGAAAGTGTTCGCTGTGCTTCTTGTACACCTGCTAGGGCTGTATTTTGCACTCAACTTTAGCGTGACATAACGGCTTTGCGAAATGCAAATTTATTGTTCACAATGAGATAGAGATACTATTAAGAGCCCTCGGGGGGTACGACTGGAAAATTGAGGCCGTTAAATTTACCGGTAGAAAAGTGGGTGCAGTGTTATAGGAGCCGGCTCGAGATAGGTTATGCGTTAGCTCATGGCAAGCTAGCACGTGGCAAAGTGACGTTATATTAATAATCGCTATTAGCTGCAGATACAGTTTCCAAGCACTGGCTACGCTATGAGCTTGAACTACGATTTGGATTATTTGTACCGTTGAGAAGAAGACAAAGAAAATACATACATTTTTAAAGGGTCACTCTACAAAGCTCTACTTGCATATGTTTGGACCATCTGTTCTCTGACCTTGAACATATACAGATGTTTGTTATCGCCGTGTCTAGTGGCGTAGAAGACTCTGGATCGATTTGTTACTGCCTCATCATTATCCGGGTAACGAAGTTCATCTTGCCACCAAGCACTGTATAAGGTGCCATTCTCAAGATACATCACAGGTTTGCCAATTCGGCTTAAACGAGAGTCCGTTGTGCATGCTAAAAAGAGCCACACAATAATCTTGCTTTACTTGACAATGGCGTCGACATGTACGTATAGGTGAGAATACGAAACTACTGAATTTCATTAAATTTAGACTACTCACATTGTATTTAAATCAACCACTTGCTCATCTTACCAGGATGCCTGTCAGGTTTTCTGGTCCAGTTGCGTTTGTTAACATCACTATATTCATTTCGCACGTCGGCCATTTCAGGAAGAGCGCTTCGACATCTACACTCAGGGCATTTTCGCAAACACTGGACGTGTTGTTTGTCTTTCGGCTCTGGTGTCATTTACCAGACAGGGTTAATATATATATCGATATAGACGAGACAGAAACGGTTAAAAAGAACAGACACTGGAATAATGCTATAGTTATTACCGTTATTTACTGTCAGAGAATCAGCAATTCCCTTATATCGAAAAGAAAGCCTCTCGAAATAGAACGTGAATAGAGGATGACAGCGCCATCTGAGGCTTCTCAATGGTAGAGGTAACACTGAAACTAATAAATCCACGCAATTTTGTTCATCATGTATCGCTTTGTCCAAAGGCAATTTTGGCACCAGATCAGTGTATAAGCGATGGCTGTTGCAGCCGTGAGGTCTTTTCAATCGTAACTTGAATAGGGTTCTTACCCAAACGTCCAATCGATGCTTCGATCTCTCTAATAAAATACATGTGATTTATTGTTAGTGCTATCATAATGAATCACAGATAATATTGTCAGTTTCAATTGAATACATTGAACCATCGTCAATTCTCTAACTAGTTAACCACTAAAAGATAAATATCAAGTAATCAGAATCGATTTGAACGTTTTTCGAAATTATTCTCCGTCTAATAATAGCTTAAACAAACATTTTCTTCAACATCGTTAGGACACAGGTTTACGCACATATAGAATTCAGAAACAGTCCTCCCTTCATATGCAATTTCTCCCTAATTCAGTGAAACTTACTTACCATTTTGACATTAGCAAGTTGCACACGATTACGCTTTTACTGATCGTGGGTATGGTTTTATATTTATTGTATCATGGAATGGGCAATTAGAAAGCTTCCAGCTTTATTTACAGTGACAGATTTAGCCTCTGATGTTTCAATGCTAATTCATCAACTGAATCAACATACTTTTTCTGCGTAGTTGTACGTAGAGCTTACCTGAACCAAATAAAATCTCCTCATTAGAAGATCGCCAGTCAAGAGGCTCGTGCCCATCTGGAACATGCATGACTTTAATTATTAGTAGATGTGTCCTTAAGTGGAAACAGCCTGTTGCAATGGTTGGCCTTGTCGTCGGACATCGAAAACAGCTAGAATTGGTATCCAATAGGCCTTTTTACTCAGTATACTGTCCTACATATCTTCTAACTGGTAGCAAGTTTTCCGTTCATAAATTGTACAGTCTATCACAGCCATATTGTAAATCGAGCGATGTGAATGTCAAAAACGTGACAAACTGGCACTGTTTAGCACAAGTTGGCACTGAGGCTTTATCAAAATAAAAATGGTTTGTATCTCATGTAATTGTTTGAAGAAGCAATATAGTTCGAGTTGGGTACATAATTTACTTGACGCAAAACATGGCTACCACAACACAACGCGTTGGTCTCTGGTTAAAACAACATTGGTGTCGCTACGGCTATGTGGATGAGGGGAAAATCCCAAGGCAATGCTACTGGGCGTTGTGCTTTGTGGCAAAACAATCCATAAATTGTTTCCAAAAATCCGTATTTACATAAAAGATATATGCACAAAATGCATCTCTGTCAAGGAAGTTGTATGGTAGGTAAATACCCGACACTGATATGTCTAATTCAGCCACACAAAGAGTAGATAGCACTTCGACGAAGCTCGATTGCATTGGTAATGCTATTTTAAATTAAGCAGAGACATACATGCCTCACCGTTGGATATATTGCTTGAAAGAAGAATAAAATCTACTAGGAACTTTGCCAAAAGCCCAAAATAATTAAATAACAAACAAACAAAATAATAAGCCCATGTCAACGGGCAATAACGGTCACCAATGGATCATCCGGGCCGGATATAAGAAAGCCTAGCAATGGACGGAGAACACTGGCGCAAGGTCAGGAGTGTAAGGCCGATTAGCAAATAAGGGAAACCCAACCAGCTTCTTATGAGCAACTGGAGCATGCAAAGTAATGAGGGGCTTCAATGAAACATTGGGCTCCCTTGATAAAATTAGGGATGCTGTAGAATGCAGGCGTGAACGGCGTCACATTATTTAGTGAAACAGCTGGAAACAATTTTAGTCTGATATTTGATTTCGATAATTTGTCGCTACATTCTCTGCCTTATCATTGGCCTTTGTTACCAGACGCTGTATGCGTGTCGCTGTCGCCGTTGCTGATATTCAAGTATCACGCAATCACGATGCTCGTTGCATCTCTCTATATGGACAATCCCTGCTAAAAGTTTCAGCCATCGTGCAGGCAGTAAATCTAGTATTCTTAGTTGCAGTATAGTAAATTATGCTGGTACCTAGTCGTAGTATATATTATCTAGTCATACAAGAGGTTTATAGAAATAAAGTATTTTACACTTTGTTCCTATCTTGATTATTTATAGCGGCTGGCTTTAGTTTAGAGCTTTCGTAACAGAGAACATAAAGTAAGGACCGCCGACCGGACTCGGTTTGTTATCGTTGATTCATTCAATTGTCGTGTTCGATGGCATATGATCAGCACTACAAAACAATGTTTTCGAGGCCTTTGTTCCTCTGAAAAATAAGCAGAGCGGCGGTCTTGTGAGCGTCTGAGTAACGATACAGCGTTGCATACGTACTGCTGAGATCAATTGTACCAACAGCCTGACCGCGAACATTTTTCGAGACGCATAAATAGCTGCCAAGGTCGCTCGGTGTGACGTAGGTGATATTTAAGGTTAGACGATACTGGTACGGTCCAACTCGCTCGTCGTGTGGGATAAACTTCGGTGATTCCTCTGAAAATTTCATTCAACGGTCAGCAAAATAGGTCTATGGTCTATTAATTTATGGCATTTTTCACTTTTTCTCTCCCCTAGTTGCATTCAATTTAAAAAACATTGAACAATACCAAAATAAACTTTTGTGTAACGTCTACGTGTGTCAAGTAAGGTGACGTTTGTCGCGCGGGTTCTTTTTCTCTGTGTCGAAAATGAGTAAAACGCGTGTTTTACATATATTCGATTAGATAAAAAGAGCTTTTTTCCCATGTGTGTGTGGGAAGCAGATGCAGAACTGTGAACTTTACACGGAAGTACAGGCGCAAGTAGTTGAACACGTTCCGGTTAACGGATATCAAACAATTATATTAAATTTTGCATACAATAAGCGACTGCGCCAAACTTTAAGGAGCAGATAAAGTGAAACGAACGAAATATATAGGATAACTTCGAAAATGTGACATTTTTTTAGAGACAGCAAAATTGGTTAGGTTATACTCAGCTTTTTAGCGCTTTTATATTTACCTATGTAAGCACACACACTGACATCAGCACACGAAGCGATTGTGTTATCTCACAGCAACTTCAATTTAAATTCAGAAAATAATTTCACCAAAGAACCATTACAGCATAGAAGTTATTAGCAACTTTTCACAACGTTGAAACTACGCCACAATTAACATACCCTGGTCGACAAGACCGCCATAAGCTCAAGGTAAATGATTCCGAGGAAATGCGTAAAAGGTCTTCTTGAGGATAAGAAAGTCGTATGCACTGATTGTCCTGTTAGGGACGTCGGTCGCTACGAGTTATTACAAGTTAATTATTATGTTTCGACCGTTAGCCTTTATCGTAAGACGCGTATGGTTTTTATTCATGAAACATGACATAAAAACGTATCGCCTTATCAGAACTGTATTTTAATAAGCTGAACATTATGTTACTACTATTATTCAGAACTAGGTTCGTTTATGCCAGAGCTTTTCGTGTTGTTGCTTGTTCTCAAATACTATATTGCTACTTAGTCAAGTTACTAAACATGACGAAAGATCAGAGACTCGGCATGGTAATCCTAGCTTAATGACCCGCCATTCGGTCTGCACAACGCTGTTAAGTTCGGTTAGTTGCAACGTGCACAGAAGTGGCTCTTGCCTGCATTCAGAAGGCTTGGATCCCATTCAAAGTTAGGCCAGTCACCGATGATGGAGCCGGATCGAGATATCCAAAAGTTGACGGGCTGAGGGTAGGCTTCAGAGAGACACTCGAGGATGACGCCCCCTCCGTTCCACGACGCTACGTTCCATTTTTGAATGCGGATCAGAGGTGCAACTATATTTGTGACGTATAATTAGACGTGGTCAGCTTAAAACAGAAAATTTCTTTTGTTTTTTAGGGAGGCTAGCTATCCCAAAATGTTGCTTTCACCTTAAGATTTCCAATTTAGTTGTATTGTGCAATAGGGCGAAAAACTAATATTGCCAAAGTGTACGCACATGCAACGTTAAGGGCAATCTCTCTCGATGCCAGTGGCGGAATTCCGTTTGATGCTGTGCAGGCGTACACGCCCATATCACCCCGGGTCACCTGAATTTATAAAATGGGGATTCCAAACATTTTACTTTTTGCTGTATCCCCTCTGTAATATTTATCCAACGAGCATCTAAGTTAAATATGTAATAAATATCTGTCAACAATAGATAAATTGACTTCGATTTGTAATTTAGTTAGGGTTGATTTAAATACAGGCCATTCCGCTGTATCTGGAACCACACCATAAAACAAATGCTTTTTTAGTTGTGCACTAAAGCGGATAGCTTGTTTGTTATAACATTTTAAATCATTTAAAATGTTAATTTAAAAATTCATTGATATATGTACAGGATTTGTATACCGAATTATTCCAACGTCTATTTTCACTTCGCTGTTTTCCGTCTCCTACGTGATCATGACCTCTGACCCTGAGCATAATAGGTTGAACAAAAAAAATACAGAAAGGGTACAAGCGAATAGAAAGTAATTGCGTTACAAGCAAGCTTTTCGTTAACTGCTTTACTTAGCTAAACCTGAAGAGGTTCATTAAAATTTAGATAGGTCAAAGAGTGATTTTGGCAACTGTAACCTTGCTGCCTGCAAATTTTAGTTATTCATTTGGTATAAAACTTTGCGAATTTTTTTGGGACTGTTCCGCATTTGTCGTACAATTCACAGTTCCGAAGGGCTCGTAGTGCGAACAGTTTTTGGTGCGATAAGGTGCAGGAGATCGGCTCCGTCCTCCCTGGTAAAGGTGCAACTTAGACATTGAATTTTCAGCTTGAAATTGGATAGAAATGAGCCGCCATTGGCACCGCTCCAAGCTGGAAGCTCTGATTCAAACGACAAATGGCCCTCCGAACGGCACCAGGAAAGGAAGGACGATAAACTTCAACTATCCGGTGTGAAAATTTGCCTTGGAACAAACGTTTAGAATCCGTCGCACGGGTAGCGGGTGCTTCAAGTATAACGTCTCGTGTTGGCCTGAAGCATTGTTTAAGATGCCTGGTACCCAGCATGAAATGAGGCGTGGCTACACTAGATTTCGAATCTGAACCACCTCAGGTCCTTAAGTTTACCAGACAAGCATGATATCGTTACGTCAGCCTAAAAAAAGTTCCCTTCACAAAAAAGTGTTAATCGATGCTCTATTATTGCTCGCTTTTCTTGAAAAGATGGTAAACATGGACTATTCAGATTATTGGTTAGATCTGAACGGGCTGATTTACGGTATGAGTTTCCTCAAAGCATTAAAACACTAAATGCACAATACGAATCGATTTGTCGTTAAGCTGAGCTAACAGATTGACAAAAACAGGTTTTTGACAGAACAGATAAAGGTTTACATAAAGTGACATTGTTATTTAACAATATTGTACCTCGTACGGCTTTGAAGACTTGGACAACTATGGTAAAGCACAAATGAGAAGTTTGGTGCATGTAGCTAATAGTCCAAACTTTGCTCCGCAGGAGAGGGTCCGCGCAGCAGGGTGTCTAGGACAAGCGGCTCAGAACAGTAGGCAAAGACCCGAAAATGGGCCTATCCACAGCTCATCTCATTCTCCGTTTGCCTAAGAATCCGCCTGATAACCCCAGAGCGGAGGAGCGGCACGGATATCCAGGAAATTTACTCTCGCTAAAAGCTTGGTCTTTCCAAAGATGAGCGTCATTTAAAATCAGTGGGATAACGAAATTACTTTCTGATCAATTTAACACATGCTTTTCACGAAAAATACGTAAATGATACCATGTTTTCTCAATAACACAAGAAAAAGGACGTGGAATTTGAATGAGGAAAAATTCTAATACTTTAACGTATAATTAGGTCTGCATACTTCGCGTCCAGCATTACCTGACTGATATTTAACTGGTTTCCTTCCAAGGAAGACACTGGAATTCAAATTATAAAAAGTCATTATAAAACCCATACTATATAATAAAAATATGTCGAAAAACAACCAGAAAACATTTTTTTAATATATAACTAATTTACGAATTTAAGAAATAAAATACCATTGAATCATTTTGTGATTTTTTTTTACAAATCTGTTTTTAAAAAAACAAACTGATTTTCTGACGGCTGTAGCGACTTTATTTGCCCTCAGTGGAAGATACTCACCATGCGTTGTTCCCAAAATCGGCTTTCCATCCGTGCGAGACCACGCCACTCGAGGAAGTGGTTGGCCAGTTGCAGCGCAAGTCAAACTCAAACGAACACCTTCATTAACTTCTACTTCTGTAGAAGCAGGACTTAAAACGATTTCTGGTGGAACTGTTATATGACGATTATCATCCGTCATTTAAAAGTGCAAGACAGGACACAAAAAGCCTACATGATAGGTGGTCGCCAATTACTTTAGTCAGTAACTTCGTTTGTTTGCTTACGATAAAAAAAAAATGCTGACTCATACGCCTGCGCCATGTTCCGGATTATTTTCACAGGCTGTATTTTGTTTGCCATCAGCCAGATCTACATTAGCTTTCATTTTTTTTTATAGATTGTCCTGATTTTCTAGGTCTGTGCTATGCTGAATACGTTCTGTCCAGCGATTTTCGAGGACATTTGACTTCCATAAGACACAAAGCGAGTAACCAAGAAACAAAGCTATTTAACAATATATTTTGAGTCTAAATAAGTCCGTTGGGGTGGTGTTGATAAAACTACAATGGCGGTCTAGTATACAAACTAAGCAAGTCGGAGACAGATTCAAGAGTGGAGTTTTTTGGCAGCCACGTCTGAATACCCGGCACACCAGCTTCGCCACGTTCACCGTGGTCGCCCTTCGTGCCACGTTGACCACGCAAGCCTGGATAACCTAAAATTAAACCATATATGTTATACAAAGTATTCGACGCAAGTAGAAGAAATCACAGAACGTAGGTGGCGTACGCGTGCAGTTCGCTACTTCTATACCCATACCCAACCTGTTTAAACAAAATAATTATTAATAACTTTTACAATTTTTAGATGCGCTTCATCATTAAAATGTATTTTGACGAATTCTTACTTCCGAGGTATTATATAAAGATGGTACTCAGTATACTTCGCCCAGGTTCGTACTTCATTTATGACACTTAATGAGAGAATAGATAGGATGCCTCTCTAATGACAAAGTTATTCCTAATTTAACGCATCAAAATGATGCGTTCGCTGTCATAGTTAGAATATTGATATTATAGAGCAGACCTATTTTTCTAAATTTCCAGCTCAAAATATGAAGATGTTATGCTGAATAATTGAAAGGTAGATTTCACGTGAAAGTGGAATTAAAAACATCCAGTTTAAACATTTATATTATTAAAGTAAGCAACCCCCTTACCTGAGTCGCCTTTTTCACCCTTCATGCCAGGGATGCCGTTGATGCCTGTTTTGCACATGAGAAACATTTCACATAAGGTTCATGAGCATAACGTACCACCATCAAGTGTACAAAATAGGATATGTTTAATAACGTTCTCCGTTTCCTTCCTGCATAATGAAGGCTGTCTTTTCGACACTATCTAGAAACATTTCGTATTTATCCCTTTAACTGATGTTACACTAAATCGGCTTGATTTTTGTCTTTGGAAATTGCTACACTAAGAAAAATAATTGTATGCCGTCACTATCTTTCGCAGTGAATATCTCATACTATGAGTTTAGTCAACTTGAGATGCTCTACCGGAATTTTGTAACATCTGCCTCTATGCCAGGTCAAAGGCATTCAATTTTATCCGCGTACCATTAATGCCATCCGATCCATGTCTACCCGGGTCTCCAGGTTGCCCCTTTTCACCTTTTTGCCCTTTGGGCCCGTCAGCTCCTTGAGCACCTGCCATTCCGTCAAGGCCAGGAGCTCCCGGAGTTCCCTCAATGCCATCTAATCCTGAGGCACCTCTATCACCTGTGAAATAAATTTGCTAGAAAGATATAAGTTTATCCAGCTAGACATCAATTGGATTTGTAAAAAGGCATGAGATATATGACTCAATTATTATACTAACCAGCACTGTGAAAAATTCGAATACAAACAATTATTGATTAACAAGTTAGAAATTTTTCGATTCAGAGGCATTGTGCAGCTAGAAAGTGACCAGCGTACTTGATGTGAGATAACGAAAAAAGCAAACGAGGAAGTTGACGTATTTAGTGAAGTTACTAGTTTCGAGCTTAAGCTCAGCATGAATAGCTTATTTGGACGGGATTCGCTTGTAAAATGGTTTCGTTCGATTCTCGTTATGCACAAACACGGCCCATCTATTGAGCTTGAAATAACTGTCGTTTCGGAGCGTCTCAAGCCTACTTTATTTTGCTTCTTCCGTTTTTTGTGACTTATGGAACGAGCGACTTTTGTCAACAGAAGAAAACAGCAGCAGGCCGCACCCGTTTAACAAGTTCCGCTAGAGTTATTTATCCTGCAATCCTATTTTACGTCAGCCTGGTCACCAGTCTCAAGTTACTTATACGCTTGGAGTTTTGACATAGCATCGCCACTGCAGCGTAAGGGGATGATACCGTGTGTTTGCAGCCAGGGACCTAATTTGCCATTTGTTGAATCGTGGGTAGGTGGTAAACTTTCTTCTAGTCTAAAAGCCTTTAGGTGGTAGTACGATGAAACGGAAGCAATAAATTCTGGTGTAGACATCACTTGCTTTACTAGAATTCAGTTGTCTATAAAAACCACGTTTCCTCTTCGTTACGTTCGTTAAGTGATCGTTGCGCCAGTCCACAAACTAGGATAGAATATTCGAATTTGAAGGTACATCCTGAATTGCGACATGTTTATGATTGTCTGCCTGCTCACTTCAAAACTGATACATGGTATCTAGGGCCTGCATATCGTTTAGTATGTAAGAGTAATTCAGGTTAGGGCTAAACACATGTCGCTCAAAAGATTCCCTCTATTGTGTGCAATCCTTATAAGCTGCTAGAAAAATGTTTTATTTAGAAGGTCGACATTTTCGCTTAACCATAAGATTGTCCCTCCGTATTGTTCCCTTTACAACTTATACATGTATTGGGATATGACGTTTAAAACATGGTGTTATTTTTGAAATATGACAATTTTATCTGTAAAATATTATTCTAGAGTAGGATTTGTTGCAATTTTTGCAATTTTTTTTGCTCATGTTGACACTACTTCGAATGCGTTGCAGGAATTCTACCGTTTACAAACAAGACATAAGTCAACGATCATAAAATGGTCACTTTACCCTTTAGGCCAGGAGGTCCGATTGGCCCAGTCTCACCCTTTTCACCTGAAATAGGCCACGTATAAAAAGAAAATACTTAGAGCGCTCCAAAGAATGTGTACTACAGTAAATTTACTATCCGAATTACCCCTGAAGTGCAAGGAAACCGTTGCGAAGAATTATAGCTAAACGGGTTCAAATATAAAACACTTCTAAATCACCGGTGCCTGAAGTGTTCTTTGGGAATTAACCAGGCGTAAAGCCATCATAGACTAATACCGCAAACGTACCCTGAACGTACTCGGAACCGCAGTATACCGTGCTATCCTTGCAGAATTTTGTCATAACATCCATCTGTAATTCAGTTTTACATTGCATTAAGGGCGTGCATATTGAATCCAGCTGTAATTCATGCAAGCTTAAGAAATACGTACGTGCATCTCACTCATGTCTGTGCATAAAGACTGCAATGGCGGCCAAATTTTTATCCGATACGTAATCAGAGATTCAGTTACAGTAAAACAAGATACGCTAAGCGCGCACCCTAAAGGGAATTTACAAGTAGCTGAAGACGTCTGAAAAAATTGGCCGGCTTAGTCATTTAAGGGCATTGTTACGAATTGATCGTTACAAATCCGATAGTATCTGACATGCGTTTGTGCTAGCATCGCTTAGGTAGCAGCTTTAAGCAATTTTAAAGAAGTTGTTTGATTAGGTTTTTTTCGTCCGTACGGGCACGGTAGCATAATGGTGCGGCATAGGAACTATCCGCGAGCCATTGAGATTAAACTTGACTCCAGGTGGCGTCGACGTCGCATAGGAGCTGCTTCTAGATTGTGATCCGTCCATATTTGAGTCAGCCGGTAGAGCGTCCTCCTTAGGGGTGGCACTATCTCGAACCTGACGGCGATGAAGTATTTGTGGCTCTAAAAGCTCTAAGACCTATAGAAGAAAGAGACGATTGATTAAGTTAATCCGTGAGAAACGATCTGTCTGAAGCACTTTCGAGTGGACTGGGCAAATGTTATGGATAGTCTCTAAAAAAACTACGCATTACATTTTCGCTAATGAATTTATTCATGTTGTCAAATCAACTGCAATCCTTCGTGTACCGTATCCATATATATATATATATATATATATATATATATATATATAGAATATGCGAATGTATCTGAAGTTGTATAGGACTTTCTTTAATGTATTCGAGAGAAAACGAATGAGTTAAAGCAGACACAACAAAACAAACAAACGCTACGGATCTGTGCTAATAGCATATGTACTGTCCGACATATATAAAGCTATTTACTGACAGGCGGATATCAACACGCAACGTAAATAAATGTTTTATGTCTTTGCCGATTTTATAACCGAAGCAGCCGAACCTAGGATATTTACGTAATCTCGCAACATAAATATTGGAAGTTTCGATATTTTTCTTTTTTTTTTTCGAGTTATTATATGTAGTCGTTTGTGGCCTTGATAATTTTGTCCAAAGTTCTCGAGAAGTTACTTCCAGACTTATGTAGTCAGTTAGAATAAGATGTAGCTGTCCACTTACCTTCTGGGCTATTACATCTACCTGCGCATCCGTCGTCACGACGAGGCGACATCGCGTGTCCGTAATGAGGAAAAAGTTTATGGCGCATAGCGCTAATAAGACTCCTAGTGCACAAAATATTGTGCGACTATGATCAAGTGAACCGGACGTCATATTTCTGAGGCAATGGATTCTTTTTTGTTGTTACCGGAATACATGTAAGATAAATGACAACTCAACACGAACCGATCACCGGACCAGTTGTATAAATGAGCTTGTATTCATCTTCTCTACACATAACAGCTACAGTCTTATCTCGCAGTCCAATGTCGATCGAAGACGGCCACTATACAATTAACATAGAAGTCGGAGCCGCCATTCAAAAGCTCTTACTCTGTCATAATAGCAATACGTCTATAATTATGTTACGGTTGCCAAATCAAAACATTCACAAATTATCTTCCATATTTCTTCAATGGCTAAGTTAATAGCGACACTTAATTGTCAACGAAAAGACGACTCGTATGAGTTTATCAAACTAACACCTCACACAAACACTGCCCTCACAGGCACAAAGGAATTAGGCTGATCAAAAGCAGCTAAGTATTCGATCCTCTGTTACAGCCGTTATCCAGGTGAAATGGTGATCACACGTATCACCTAATCAAACAGTATCTCGGCACGACCGACGCTTTAACAGAGGGATACCGGTTGACTTTCAGATCTCGTCGAAGAAACGCCCGGACAGTATAAACGATTACGGTCAATTGGTCTGCATCGCTCTAATAATACTGGCGCTTTCAGAGGCCGCGGTACTTCAGGCGACTACGGCTTTATAAATTCGATACCCAATCCGAGTTCCGTCCGAATTACACTATACGGGATTACAGTGCAGATTTGACGACGACGACGACGACGACGACAACAACAACAACAACAATAATCACGGACTCCGTAACGCGATAAAGGTTACTGCTAAGATAAAGCGATGCTGGCTATCTATTGCAGAGCTGTGACTACGCCAGATCTACACGCTATAAGAGCGCTGGTGGCGGGTTCTTCCAGTTTATTCGGGCGTTTCTCGCCGAAACGGTCGATTTCCAAGTGCATAGTCAGGGCAGTGCATAGTCCTGGTCGTTCTCTATTCGAAGCCCCGCGTTTTCATGTCTGGTGGTGCCTCTCTGACAGTTGAAACCTGGTTTTGCGGTTGTAGGCTAGAACGAAAGATAGTCAACGCCCTGATTACCGCCCACTGAGTAGCCACACCTTTACGGTTGGTTTTTTTCGTAACGCGCAGGACCCGAAGGACCTGGAAGACGGACGCTTTCGTTCACCGATTTTAATCCGGCAGCGCTTTTCCCAAGGTGTCTTTCGCGCGTTCTTCCTCAGCTAGTGACAGTTGAGCACTTTCGTCGGCCACAAGTTTGTCTGATAGTAAAGCGATTGCTGACGGCATCAGTAGCCAGACGCTGGCTAGAATATATTTTCCTCTTCGTAATGAGTATGATTTGAGCTATGACTCGTCGCACAGGAACGAGGCAACAAATAAATACATTACGACCACAACGCCAATCTGGGCCACTGGGGTAGACTGCAGTAAGATCTAGAAGTGTGATGCTTATGTACTGTTGCTAACTCAATTTAAGTTGAACTTCGTTGATAAACGAGCTCTTTCGATTAACAAAGACAGCAATAAGCACGATAAACACCTGTGTCGATATAATTTTGGTAAGATCACACAAAATAAACTTTTAAAACTATCTTATTCTTTGCCAAACGGGCACAGGAACACATCACTGACTCTAACACTAAAAAACCTTAACAACAGACTTAATTAACAAACTAGTTTTGCAAGCATCCTTGGATTCGAATCTAGGACAAACTTTGCCCTGTCTCGAATAGTGAAATGTAGAAAGCAATCAATTTCCATTGAAAGGCTTCCTGATTATCTCCACGCACACGCTTGCAGAGTCCTATACTTGAACGTACGAGACGAGCTGTAGAATCATGTTATATGTTAGACTACAGTCAACGTGTTTTTGATAATTGGCGACTACACCCTGAGCGGTTGCAGTGAGTACAAAATACAAGGTGAATCTAAACCCCAATAAGACCCAAAACTCTAACCGGGACAAGATTACTACATTCGATGAGACGGATAATACCTAAATGTACGTAGACAAGCCTACAATATGTGAAGGTTAAAGAAACGACATTGTTTTTGTCTGTGTTTATGCATAGGGTGTTATTTCGAACGGTCGGCTCGCTGCTACATACGGGTTTTGCTTTACGTTATAGTGTGCTTTCAGTCTATGCAGTAAGACACTTTATTCTAAATATTAGTATGTTAGTATTGTAAATATCTGTTTAACGGCTAAAAGTACGCACTTGATATATAGCTACAGCTGGTAGTTTGATATATTCAACGAACAATCTGAACTTTCACAATTATATATATATATGGGTTACGTTTTAGATAAGAATATCTATTTGAAGTTACGATCACGTTGCGGATCTGTAGTTACACCGAAACCTCATCAATTCTTCATCAAACTGCAATGACATTTATACAACAATATAGAGATACAGTAGCAATCCAACATAGTTTAGGGTGGAACACAAAAAGGGTAAAGCGTTAGATCGCTGTAAATTCAGGAACTTCCCACCATATTTGTTGCTCAAAGACCTCTTTTGGATATTTGGATTGCAAAAGCTGCGCTCCTTCGTACTGATACACTTCAAAAAAAAAGAACACACCAAGGCATGCTCCCTTGATAAGAAGGAAAAGCCGATCAGTGGAGAACTTGTAGTCTAATCGAGCGCAGTAAAGTTTGACTATAATGTACTACTTATTTAACCATATGGTTTCCGGTTTATCGAATTCAAACGGAATAAACATCCTGCATAGACAAACCACCTTTGTAGGTTTCATTACGATGCAGGAGAGTCATTTAACAGCTACTGTCCATACGACTAAATATCCATCCCGTTTCTTCAAGAAATTCTGGCTGTTTTAGCTGTTTTTTGCTGACGAACTCATGAAAAATTGACACACTCGCAAACGTGACAGCGTATGTTTTTATGTATAATGGTGCGTCTTTTTCATCCCAAGCGATTTACTTAGATCTACCTTGACCTAAACCGCATGAAGCCTGAATTAACGTCCGTTTGAGCAACAGTTGCGTGTGCTCCCGACAAAAGCCTAGTATTTCTTTAACTTTAACATGTCTATGCGTTGTTTTATATATTCATATGTGGTACAGAAAGCTTTACATGTGTGGACAACGGTGTACGAGCTTAACATCTGTATGGTTTCCGAGTTACATTCTCATATCTCATAGCAAAGATTGAACCTGAAGCCGATGGAAGCTTTGAGGTCGAAAGAAGCGGGAGGCCAAATCATGTGTTCCGCTTAACAGTACCCAATGGCTGTAAATGGAATTGGTTCAGTGTTCTTGCTGTGTACAAAGAACCCTCGGTAGCCGACGGACAACCGCACGCGCAGTTTCAGAAAGCAAAGGAATCAGAAGACCTATTTTGATTATACAATTGAGCAAATACGAGTATGCAATGGTCTTGGAAATTTGGACTATATATCATATCTAATATATGCACTAGGTACGTGTCAGTAGAGACTTAAAAGCGTCCCGAACGGTGAGTTCGATTCAAATTAGGATCTTCCTTCGATTCTCAAGACAAAACTGCTTGAGGTTTAACGTAGAGGATTTCGAAATATTTTTTTGAGGTCAGGGACAATTTACCAAAGAACCTAAGACAACACCAACCACCTTTATTGTCACTTCT